TGCCTGTAGCCGATCTTGCGTTGTAACTGACAAATAATTTTTCTTTTTTAAGTTAGGGAAATTCTCGAATAAAGGCAACTTGTTGCTCCGCAGAAAATTTTAATTTGCGAGAAAATATGTGTAGAAAAGAAAAACCGCTACGTGAATTGGAACAAGCAGCGTGAAAATCTCCAGTGATAAGAAGGAAACACTACTGAAAGAAGGTGGAAGGTAAAAAAAAATGAACGAAATTGACGTGGTAGTTAGTAAGATCTACATTGAACAGTTGTAGTCACATGGAACCACCACAGCCGATTGCTACAATATACTGAATTATAGTTTTGACTTCATCTTCACCGATGGTTACCACGCAAATCATCTATTGATCTTAACTGGTAAAGGATAAAAGAATAAAGGTCTCGGCGTTGATCAATCCCTTAGGATTGGGCCATGCATTCGACTCTATTAAGCATCCATTAAGCATCGTTGGAGGTGATTGAATGCATTTCTGGTCTTTACAATGACAAGTGGTGGCCTACCGATGTATCGAGTTAGTGATGCTACGCTTCCAGGCAGGTCTACTATCAATTTGCCAACCTCGAAGGGATGGAAGGTTTGCTGAGTCTTGGGTGCGGAGATCGATTCCATGTGTGTATTGCAGGGCGCCTCCGACCACTGCGCCACACGTGCTCGTTATCTTAACTGGTACCATCAAAATTTTTATTCAGTAATGTCGAGCGACAAAAGCTGGAACATGGATCAATTCAATTAAGGTAGATAAAGAGCATAAGACTCTTTCTACAAGGCCATCTTTTTTTTTTTTTACTACATTTGGTCAATGAACAATAACGGACAGCTTTTCCTGATTTTCCACAAGAAACTAAGAATACTAGATTAACTGATTAGAATCTCCAGGAGTTAAATATTGGGTATCCTTGTTGAAAGCGACCGTGATGGTTTTCTCATATATTCTCAATTCTCTTTCTTACAAGTTTTGGCAAAATCTACATGTAGAGTACATTTCGCATTCACGAATATGGATCGATGCGCACCCAGGAATAATTGAATGAATACGTCTGTCTACAAAAATTATTATTCAGTTCCACGTAGCACTGACGGGAAGCTGTTAATCCTTTGCATCCACCTGCGTGTCATGGCAGGTACAAGGTCGCTTTTGATCCACATATGACCAATTGTCCGACACCTGGTTATGGGCAACGTATCCTTACTGCTAATATGCTCGAGATTCCTCCCATGGGAGGGAGTTGTTACACACGGGTTTTTTCAAATATAAGCAAAATTTATGGAAGCTGGCTTAAAGATGTGTCTAGAAATTTGGAAATTTGTGCGAGTAATTTTAAGTAAACTTATCCGTGGGCTAATATTGTTATTCAAAGAAGTTGGTTGATCTTCCTTTGCTAAGTGCATATCGTCAGAGGTTCATAAAAGGAAACGAGCGTAACTGTAATGTATGTAACCCAATTAGCTAATTGTCAGCTGTTTTTCATACCATGAATAAGGACTATTATAAAAAAATGGTGCAACAACAACGTCAAGGGACCAAGATTTTTCGGTAGTTTCACCTGTCGTGTTATCCATTCCAAGTACTCTTAATTAGCAATACGCGCGGCTGAAGTGCAATGCGTTCCGTCTTTGTTCCGCACCGACCATCTAATAATACCCATGGGAGGATGAGAAGACTTACCAACAGGTTACGATACAGGCGATAATCGACGGCAACGACCTGCTCGAGCGGCTGGAGTGCGATCCAGCATTAACCTTAAGTAATTTTTAAGACATTAAATGAAGTGAAAGGTTACAAAAAAACTACAGTAAGCAGCTTATAGCAGCAACCAATAGCACAATAAAGGGTTCCATTAAAAAAGATATAAATATTTTAAAACTGTGGGAAAGATTTTCTTAAAAGCACTCTTTTCAGTTTAAACGTTCTGCACTCTATGTTCACCTAATGGACAGCATTCACTTGATGAGGGGACTTTTTCCGTACTTTCAGCTTTTTTCCACCACAAAATGATGTTTGAACAACAAAAAAAGCGGTGAAACTATGAGACGGCTGGTTCAGCAGCGCATCTGCCCACTTTGGGCTATTGTTATTTGATACAAAACAAGCCACGATCGGATTTCTTCCCATGTCGTCAGTTCTGTTAGTCGAATTGCTTGATTCTCACATTTCTCAGCGATTATCGCTTAAAATTATTCTTAAGCGACAGCAATGGGTACAACATGAAACCCTTCCGGAACTGGAACGGATTTTTTGAAACGATGGGATGAGATAGTGAGAAAGCCGTTTCGAGGCAGTTCTCTAGGAGTTCATCCTGAGTATGCAAAGGCGGATAGAAGTTCTTTTTTGAGCTTTGGAAAGACGAATTCGTTAGAATAGATAGGTGAAACAACGCAGGACTGATTTTTGGCTTTTGCGAAAAGTTACACTAAATTGTATCCGTTGCTCATCTTTAGTTCTATGTACTTTTTGTTGCGCTGACCTAGTTATCTCTCGGAATAGGATATGTTAGTCGGAGAGTTTAATTCTGAAGGAGACGAGAATGATATTCATGAAGATTTTGAAGGCACTGGAAGTTTTCTTGTTAAAAATCTCCTACTTTGTTCAGTTCACTCAACTCTCAACTCATTCCGAACTGACCCGCTCACTATTCTCCTCCAGAGGTGGTCCTCCAAATATTTAGCACAAAAGTTTTCCTTCGTCTCGCACTTCTTCCACTTGGCGAACATTTGGTTTTGTCGGCTTCGTAGACAAGTGCGTAGTATTCGCAATTCGACGTCCAATACTTGGTGACTGTCCTCTGGTAGACCGCATACGTCGTGTAGTCGTCTTCGTTTGATGAAGTTCGGAACGACTTGATGTTTTAAACAGCGGCGGAGAAAGTGTATTGACTGTCGAACTAAGACGATCTTTTGTCTCAGTGACAGCGCTTCTTTTACAAGTCGGAAGTATCTTGCTGGTACATCTTGCAGTAACTGCCACGACCGACTTTCTATTAACCTCGGCATATAAAGGCATAAATGACAAAGTATAAAGTAGTAGTATAAGTATAAATAGTACATTATACTTCCACGTGATTTCTGTGCGGTTGGTCTCTACGTGACATACTTAGTGGAAACCTCATAGAAAGCGGCTCTGAAGAAGGCGAAATTCGCCGAAACGTCAGCTTAATCGTGAACAAAGAATAGTAACACCTCGCGTTTGCTCAACAAAAATACGAAGAAAATCATTCCGAACTCTTCACTGCTTTACTTCTTGATATCTCAGTTTTCCAATGTTTTGTGGCTTTATCGATTTCGCCAATAAAGGAATATGTGACGATGTCTTGTTTTGATGGAAACTGTTGAAATACTACAATTTTCAACTCTTTTTCATGTGCGTTATGTTGAACACTTCGAAAAACCTCCCATTAGAGTTCATCCCCACTTAGTGATTCATGGCTTGGGACTTGAGTCCTAAGCCATGAATCCGTGTTCTTTTCGACTACGATTCATCAAAAAACAGCCTTACCGTTCAGCTCTTCCGGTCTCCAGCAGTCACGGCAAAACCTGCACTGGTGACGTTCTATTCAAGGGCAGTCACGCCCACTCTGGCAGTGGGAGTTCAATTGCTAGCTCCACCTCTTCAATGGAGCTGAACTGATCCCATCTAAGCTGCTACCACACCGTTATCCTTAACTCAGTTTCCATCTGAACTATTCTTGTGTTTGATCGATTGTGATTACTGTAAAAGTACCAGTGTGAGTTTGAATACTAATTCGGTCGCATTGCCACAAATTTTGTCTGCAGGCCCGAGTTCAATTTTCTGGGAGCTCTAATGGCTCTATAAAAGCAACTAATAATAACGATTGTTGTTTTAAAGCAATCTGACCACTGTTCTTAATTAAGGCTTTCATATGCGGCCATTATATGCTGTCCGATTTGTGCTTTCATTGCCTATTTTATACATTTTTTTTACAACTTTTTCAAAAAGCCTGCTCATCACCTGTGTCAAATCCAACCTTGTAATTTTCATCCAGTAATTTGGGCTTGCACGTGTTAACTTTCTATTCAGTCCATCTGCGTGTTCGAACTGCTCAGTTTTAAACACGAGATCCACTATTCTCATTGTTCTTGGCCATAAGAAACCTATATTGGGCACCTTCGGCCAACCCTATGACGTGGGTTTGCTCCTAATTTGTCTTTCAAATTGAAATTTTGATCTTGTTTTCAGCTTAGGGGACTCTTCTGGAGAAGATCTGTTCTTGCTGCTGAAAAAACGGTTTGCATGTGGAGTATTTTTTGGGGTAATCGGTTCACAGCCTTTAAGAATACTGCCGCAACGAAGCTGTTCATAGTGAGCTTAATTTTTGACGATATATCAAATATAAACATTCTGCTTATTTCCCATTGTTTTTATTTCGTTCATTTACTTTCACCTAACAGCAAAAAACCTCAGCGCTTAACGGTTTACTCTTCGAGGATAAATAAGTGTACCGGAATTCCACATTATCGTTTCCTACTTTCCTACCGTTTACTTTCCTACAGCACTCTAGTGCTAGTACTAACCTCCCTCATTCAGTCGCCAGTGAATCCTACTCTGTCCGTTCACCTTATCTCGTCTTATCTCAAGAGGCAAGGGCTTTTTTGCTTCACCATATGGCGTGTTCCATTAATTTCATTAGCGTAGGTGTGGTTTTTTTAGAAAGACGATGTTAAAGCGCTCTACGGCTTGATGGAGTGCTCATCTGAAAATCTTTGAAGGCATTTTAAATTCCGCACTTTACTTTTTTGTCGTCAATTCAGTTTCAGTGTAGGTAACTTGGTTGTCTGATAGTTCACTTTCTTTCCATGCTATTCTCTTTTGTCATTTTTCTTACACACCTCAGTATTTTGGGTGGGGTATTTGGCTAGAAAAATGACCTACCGTCGGTTTTCCTGTCATAATTGTTCGTCTTTCACTTTGCTGTTTTTTTTTGTTTTTTCCTTTTCATTTTCTTCTAACAGTTTTTTCGTTTTAGATGAATGATTGTTCCGAAAGTCGTTTGGTGTCGTTTTTAATAGAGGGCGACGATATGATATCGTGTGAAGTATGTCTGGAGCCGTTCCAAATTCCAAACAAGCCACCTAAAGTCCTTCCTTGTGGCCACAATTTCTGTGATCAGTGTCTCTTTAGCCTCTGTTGCCATCAGCAGGTCAATAGAAAATTCTGACTGTTTAAGTTTTTTTTCCCATAAAACGGTTGTAACTACGGTCAAAAAGGAAGAAGTACTGGCGTAGGAGGAATTTTTTCCGGAACAAAGATCGCGTGGAGAAAATCTAAAAATAATTAGAAACTAGTTCAATAAATTCCAACTTAATAGTACAATTCGAAGGAGCAGAAATGACTCGAAAAAATGTCCTAAAAGACTGCTTTTTCTCAACTTTACTAGGCCAAAAAATGGATTGAGGTCCTCTAGTACCGCAAAAGTATTCGAAGTTCTAATTAGCTCAAAAGAACTCACGGCGTTGATCAATCCGTCAGGGATGCGCCATGCATTCGACTTCACTAAGCACCGTTTGGAGGTGATTGAATGCATATCTGGCCTTTACAATTTACTCGCGGTGGCCTACCGATGTATCGAGCCAGTGCTGCTATCCTTTCAGATAAGTCTGGTACCAATTTGCCGACCCCGGAGGGATGGAAGGCTTGGTGGCCTATAGGTGGTACGGAGATCGATCCCACGTGCGTTTTGCAGGGCGCCCCCGACCACTGTGCTACACGCGCCCCTGTTTTAGCTAAATGAAGAAGAATTACATTAAATATTGATAAAACGCTTTAATTAGAAGTTTTTTTCTTATATTGAACTGGAAGAATAACAACTGAAAATACAGAAATCACAGCTGCATGTACTTCAGTGCTTATTCACAACTCAAGACATTACAGTACTATTTTCTGGATTCAATCAAATGCCCTACATGTCGTAGATCGTTTCCGACTAATGTGGCCATCGAAGCGCCAACGAATTGGGAGTTGTGTAGTGAGTTTTGTATTCTACGAGAGCTTTTTTCTTTTATACTATCCCAATATACGAAAAATGAACGTTTCAGAAATCCTTGAAAAAGTGAGACAAGGACGGGAAATGAACGTGACGGTAATTCACGTACCCGACAAGCCAACAACAATGCTTCCGCCGTCAACTTCAGCAAGTTCTTTTGAATGGAGACGTCCTGAAACAACTAAACAGAAGTCGCAATGGTCGTGAAGAAAATTTTAATCTTCTCACGAACGTCAACACTGATCTCTCCACTTTCAGTGATCGATGTGGTGATTGTTCGCGTAGATTCCCACCGAAGATTCTTGGGAAAGTGGCGCGATTCTGCCAAGGCTGCAACGCAAAGGGAACCACCGTCTGTTGTCGTCGTGTTTTTTTTTTCGCAGAGTTGAAGAGAAAAAACATTGATTATTCTACACTTTACAGACTTTTTATTGTTTGGAGTGTTGTGTGAACAAGCACAATGGCCACGCCCTCTTGTCATTATCGGAGCTTCAGACGGAGCAATTAAAGGTTTACTTCGAAAGCAGCTTTTATTTAACGATTTCTAACTATAGTCTTCTATGTCTTGAATCATTGTAGATCGGAATAACACCAATAGAAAAGCTGAAAAGCGAAATAAGAAAGTCGAAAGTTGCAGAGAAAATTTATCCCAGGAAGTCTATTATTTGCTTTCGAAATGGTAACCATTACTCCATCTTTTCCTCAATAGCACAGACTTCAACTCAACTGATGCATAGTCTTCTATAACAATCAACGCTGTATCAGTAAAGCTTATCTTTATTCCATATTCTTCTTAAGCAAGCACGAGGTATTATTTCATTCATTATTAAAGAACAAGCTGACGTTTCGGCGGGTTTCACCTTCCTCAGAGACTAGAAAGGTCAAGTTAACAGCAATCTACCCAGCCAAACACTTCCATAACCGAACAGAGAAAACGATAAACCAAGATTTTAATAACATTGAACACAGAATAGTTTTTTCGCAAACGCACCGCTTTTTATGAGTCTTTCACTGAATGTGTCATGTGGAGACCAACCGCACAGAGGTCACCTGGAAGCGTAATGTGCCTCTCACATCAAAACAACAGTCTTAAATACCGCCCAATATCACGTGTGATTGTGAGGCATTTCTCCCTGCGGTCCATGTTTGGATCCTTGGAAATAATTCAGAATGCCTCGAGAATGCCTTATCTTTACTGTCTTGAGAGTTTTAGTTAATTTATTCATACTCAGTGTTTCACTGAACTTGATTTATTTCAACCATATTTTTCTCTGTGAAACTCTTCACTGGCTCACAAAGTTTGTTTCAGGTTCTCGGAGAACTACGAGAATTGCGACGGAAGGTTATTCAAACATTTCGGTTGCCCGCTACGACGTCTGGAGACGTGAAGGAAAGTTTCGTTGGAGAAGGCGAATTGACTGACGGTCTGACCTCAGTCGATAATGCAATTCAACGTGTTGAATCGACAACCATTATTTGCCCTAAAAAACTAATGTAAGAATTATTTGGTTACAAGGTCGTTCACTAATGGACATTAATAGGTTGTTTTCTTTCCGAACGGGCTAGGAAGGGTGAAAGCAAGCATATTTCATAGAAATCGATCGGACCATTATACCCTTCCTTATGGATTCTCATGCTTCCGACTGCAGCTTTATCGTCATTATCCCAGTGTTATCTTTCGACTTTCTTAATGTCCACAATGTTGTTAGAAAAATGAGCGCTAAGTACTATTTATTAAAACCTAATACGTCTTTTTCTTGGCGAACTACTTTCGTTTACTTCAGTGAGCTACGCAATGAGCAAATTCACAAATGGTCAAGATTATTCTCGAGAAGACTAATCGCTCAAGAAAGATCGAGTGACATATCATTGGAGTTAGGAGGTGTGTACAACACCTGTCTCTTATTTTATCGCTATAATATAATAATTTTTGTAAGATGAGAGGATTAAAATGGTAGAGAAACGCGTCGGACGAAAAGAAGTGGAAGAAAACATGAAGGAAAACGATTCGATTGGCTTATGACTAACAAGAAACTCCACATTCCAGCTTCATCACTTCGTAGTCGATCCACCAGTCGATCTTCATGCCCTCTGAATAACGGATCGTTGGACTTCGTTCCGACTTTTCTTCCTGAAAACCAATTAGGAAGTGAACTCTATACTTTGATCAAAGCCATACCAACCACGGACACTGTTGAACAACGCTGTGAGGCATACGTTAAGGCGGCAAGGATCATCACTGACATCCTCTACGAGTACGTTTTATCGTGGCTCGGTGTTTCAAAACAAGAATTTTCCAATTTTTGCAATTGTTTATCTTTATGGAAGGTTTCCGATCAATACTCATCGAATTGCTCGTTGTCATTTCAGTGACATTGCATTAGAACAACTCTCAGTGTTCGCTGACGCTCTTCTACAATGTTTCCATCAAGCTAACATTCTCTCGAGAAAAAGAGGACAGATTTCAAAAACAGTTTCCAGAAAGACTATTTGGAAATGTGTCCAAATGTCCTACACGGAGTTGCTACGATTAGGAGCTAAGGTGCACCGCAATTTTTTTCATCTCAAAGATTGGTTAGTGCTAAAGTAAAAGTGGAAGGGATTTAGAATTATTTATCGCACGAAGCAGAAAGAATAGCCCTTCTTGATGATTTGGCCTATCTCTGCTATATATTTTCGGATGTTTGCGATCAGGTGAGATCGTTTGTTATTTTGAAACTAAGGAAAAGAAAGACAATAAGGTGAAAGTGGTGGGCCTAGCTTATACAGTGCTTCCTTAAGTTGCTCTAGAAAGTTATTGTTGCCTCTAAGCAAATATTCACCTTTAAAATAAAAGGTGAAATTGTTAAAAAGGTTTGTTTGGTCCTTCGGACATTCTCCGTTTTTAGTTTGACCGGTTTCTTCGCTGCTGAAGGACGGTGGGTACCACGGGCTACTTTACACTAGTCAAAGATGGAACTCTCTCAACTTTTCCTCTCCCTTCCAGACTAAAGCTTTTTCAAAGCGATTTTACTCTATTTTAACTACTGCATTCAGTTTGAAAATGTTTATTCCATCTTTAGGCAACAGTCACCATATGCATGATTGAAGCTGCCAGAGCCAGAGTTGCATCAGGAACACTGAGCGACCCGGATCAACAGAAAACTGCCCAACGCCTTAAGGTTTGTGAAATAACGGATGTACTAATGACGAATGCCTATTCATAGCTTTTTTACAGGTAATCGATGAACATCTACTAGAATGCCGGCGTGTGCAAAAGCTGCAGGACTTGCGAACGACAAGAACCAAGAAGACCGTGAAACTGAAACAGCTCTGGAAGTTCTACTTTCGACGTTCGAAGTCACGTGTTTAGAGCAACAAATGACGCTTAATTCACGTCCGGTCGTCAACCTGGTCAAAATACTGATAGATTCTATAAAATTTTAGTAATACAAATGAATTTTTAAAAGTGTTATCGATTCACAAGCATATTGAACACAACGACTCGGTGATGAAGAAATCGTTTTGGATCCTTCATCACTCGTAGTTGAATCGTCAAGCTTTGATATTTTCTTAGTTTTCAACATAGGTTGTGACTGAAGTCATGTCAGACTTTAATGAGGCTAAATATCCGGTTGGTCGTTTAAATGAGTTATTCATTTGGCTATTCGATTATTCACTTACCGCTAAACAATAGCTCTAATGTAAATTAGCCATTTAAAGCATTATTTCGACTATTTGAGAATTAAATGGCCTTTTGTGAGGACAATTTGAAAGCGCTCATTGATCAGCTGACTTTCAGAAATGGGCAGATGCCATCATGCGAACAATGTTGACACCTGCCGGGACGGATTCTCGAGTCTTACCGACGTTCTCTGCCACTCCATCGCGCAGACTCCCATCACCAACTTCTCCCAGATAATCCACAAATTCTCACGACCAACTAATAAACACAGAACTGGATTAACTATCGATAATCCCCTTTCCCGGCACCGCTCATGTCATTCCACCCTATGATTGCGCCAAAATGGCGCAAGACAGTTCAAACACATCTGACAAACACGGCTACTGAAGGCATTATTTTATCAAAGCGGGTAGAAAATCCTACTAAGGGTTTTCAGAACAGTAGTCCATAGCTAGCTTCTACCATTTGCTTTGGACTTAAAACATGAAATATGGCTCAAGTTACAGTAACAATAAGTTTAGCACTTTTTGGATTAGCAGAAGTTCTTCAGTGTTGAATGCATAATGATTGATTCATCGTAGCACGAAAAAAAAGCGAAGGTCAAATAAAAAATACCGTATGGTGAGTGACTGGTTGGTTTTTTGAACGCTTTCATGGACGGATTTTACGAACAAAGTTCTGCAAAGAACGTTTTCATGAAGTGCGATATACCCGCCTTAATGGTCTCACAAGAGCATAAATACGCGACGGCGGAGGTAATCGATTGTTCAGTCGTCGGCTAATAAGCGTATCCGAGAAGTCTGAAAGAAAACATCGGCAGATAATGGTGGATGAAGTGAATGCTTTGTTCTTGTGTCAAAAAGCGAAAGGCTTATGGAAATTGCTAAACAGAATAACAAAGGTACCTGGTTTCATTGATAAGCTGACACGACGTTGTTATCGATATATATTCGGCTAACGCTTCGACGTCTTTGTCTTCCTCTGAACCAAGGACCAGAGTCGATGTCCACATCCCACAACAAAATGACAAAATGGGATTGACATGAGCATTATCTGAATGTATCTGCTACGGATAACACTATATTTTCCTGCTTAAAAAACACATCTATGAAGCAGTTAACAGCTTACCCTCTTTGGAAAAGCTGTCAATAGAACATGCTTGTTAACATCTTTATTCCAAGCTTCTGATGCAGCTTAAATATTCTGAGAATTAACAAAATAAGTGAAAAAGCTAGTCGACAATATGAGAGATATTCTTCAGCGGGCACTTAGCACACTAGTGCATTGGTAAGGAAACAATATTCGCCGTCTGAATGAAGTTTTTCGAGAAACCTCAGAGTAATTATGAATGGGTTTTGTTAATATTGAGATATTTCCAAAACTCCGGACAGCAGATGTCTGTGGCTGGGAACGAACCTCGCGATTACCCTTTCCGGGGTTTAATGTGTTCACCACAACACCAAGCGTGTTCTTCGTTTGGCCTTTCTCTCAGTCGTGTTTTATAGGTGCTATGTTATGTTTGTCAATATTGTTATTTCTTGTTAAGAAAACTACTTCATTTGGGGTAATCTTCCAAACTGTCGATTTAGAAATGATTTTCGGTTTGGTAGAGTAAAAATTTTTCTCTACAACGCGATGGAAACGACTTCAAGACTATAATTGTCGCTTGCAACCATTCCAGTTTTCGTGTGTTCTTAACTCTAAGCCAAAGATCTGCTTTTCAATATCACCCGTACTCAACTATGCTTTATTGATCTGTGGATAGTTATTTTCCCAACTAATTATTGATAGCGCTTTCTTTCAGACCCCCATAATTCCTGCAAAGGACGTTTATTACTGGACTTATTCCTTGATGACTAGGAGAATAAAAAATAAAAGAAAAATCAATATGCATTTGTATTTTTGAGTTTGCACGAGGTTGGAAGAGGTATTTATTCGGCTAACGTTTCGACGTTTTCTTCTTCATCAATGCGGACGATCCGAGTTGATTGTTCACCGTTGTTGGCGTCTTCGTATCGCATCGAACCGGATCCTCGTCAATGGAGCATCTGGAAAAAAGTAAAAGAAAACTTGCCTTAAAATGGTACTGTTCACCGAAAAATCGAAGACTTGACCGGAACGAACTTTCTTAATTGTGTCCGCTAAATTCGAATTAGCCGAATGAATCGCCGTGGAATTTGCAGGAATTAGCGAAAAATCGGATCACATGGAATCCTTCGCGAACTTGAACTAGCGCTAAATTTGAATATACAGTCAATCTCTGGTTTCTTTAAGTCACCACGAGTTGGTAGTGACAGTTAAATGATAGATTAGGAAAGATCTGGACAGAAAACGGTTGCAAAAAAAAACCTCTTCAAGTCGATGAAATAACGGTTGAGATGAGTTAGTTAGTGGATTATGTTTTACAAAAAAAATCTAGAGTTGAGTGAGTGAGTGATATTCGTCGTCATTTCCTGGAACCTTTAATCTAAAATCGATTTTCGAACGACGATCGATATTGATTAACTTGGATTCCCCGATGTGAGTGCAAATCTAGCAGCTTGTTGTGCAGCCTATTCGTTACACTTAGTTATTAAATTGTAGGATTCCAGTTTCATATTCTGCGGAAAGTTTTTCCTTAATTCTCCTTATATACTGATCGACTAGACAGTTTATTCCATTATTTATTTATCGTTTAACTACCTATAATCTCATTACTATTCATCACCATCTAAGGCTTGTAATCCTTTGACTTTTTTAGACCTCTTCTAGACTTTCCTTAGATCTTCCAGCTCTTATCAAATTTCCAGCTCATTTAGTTAAGAACTTTGTAGAAGAGACGAGACCGATTATTGAACACATTCGTGATCAATCGGCCTCTCTTGCTTTTTGTGGATTCCCAGTTTTGTTAGCGATTGTGTTTCCCATAGCATTGATGTGATTGAGTGAGGACGATCGTATGCTAGTGTGACATTAATCGAAAAGTTGCCATTTTGGCAGCAAAAGGTCGCCTCGAGAACGGAATGAAATATGAGGACGATTAGCCCTGAAAATGATCGGAGGGAAAAAATCCGTTCAGTCGAGGGTTTTTTTTTCGTCGAGAAATCTAAAATCACACCTACTACGGGAAGGAAGCAGCCGAAGATTACAAAATGTTCGTACATTTTCTTGGTGATATCTTGTCATTTTAACTTGTTACCACTTATAAAGATGTAGACTGTGATTAACTCTGTAGATGCCAATCGGGATAGCTATTCAAAGTACGGATGTATGACGTTTGATAAGATCTAAGAACAAGAAAACCCTCAGATTACGCAAGAGTAACGTCGGGAACAAGACGGCGGTGGCGGCGGCGGTGTGTTCCTCTTCCATTTGATCTGATCGCTCCATCTCATCGCTCAGTCACTTGGTGACAGCCATCATTTGATTTTTCCCACGTTGTCTCTCTATGGGCGTTTTGTGATCTGTGGGTTCGTCGGCTGGTGCTGCCGATACCTCATTCTTGAGCGCTACAACGCTACGCAGACATAGATCATACACTCATTTCCAACTGTTCACAATCCGAAACCATTCAACATGTCTTTTTTGTCAAATTATTACCCTGTTTTATTTTTCCTTTCGAAAAAGTTATCACTATCTTGACCTATGCGAGATTGAGAGCACAGAAGAGGCATGGAGAAGAAAGTGACAAAAACGGAAAGGATTTCAAGTGTAGTTCATGTGTAATTTACCTAAAACTAGTCCATAAAGAATCTTAAAGTGAAGTTCATCACCTCGTAATGGTTTCTGGGTGTCGAGCTGCGACATACAGTGAGACGATTCATCCCTCCATCTGACAAAGAGTCCGGCGTTTCTATTAGGAAGTCCAGGTAGGAGTAAACCAATACCAGAATCGAGCACTGTCCTGGTATCAAACCAGTCGCACGATGGCAATTCTACCTCTGCTCCATAAGGGCGGCCACTGCCTGTTGTGGTGACGACCTGGGGCAGACTTTGGCTAGGTTGACCTCGGAGCTCCGGGGAATTACAATGACTAAACCAGCAAAACTCCAGAAAAATGTAAACTACGCTAGGCTCGCACAACCAATGAGGACAGGTCAACGAAGTATCCAAGTGAGTATTTCAAAAGGAACGCGATTTCTTATATGCATTTCATCTATTGTGTTAAAGCAACATTAAAAAAGTTGTATGTTAAAATAGTTATGCATTCAGTGTGAAGACTGTCAAAACCGTTTTTCAAAAAATTGTATTATTTTAAAATGTGTGTAAATAATTAAAATAATACAAATAGTGCGTTGAAATAACAATATAACTGAAGCAGAATAAAAGCAAAATTCGGGTTCTCTTCAAAGTTCCCATTGTTTGGTGTAGCTGCGAGATCATAAGGAAGATTAGTTGCTAGTCTGCTGTTTGCCTTTCGCTGTTTCTGCATGCAGTCATGACAGGACCTCTGTCTACAGTAGGGTACCACTTCCCCGTCTTCTCTGCTGGATATCGTCGGTGATTCCTTTACTGGCTTGTTTGCAAACGTGGTGGCTTAAAAACGCCCACTGAGCAAACATATGACGAGATCAGTAGGTGAACATATGTCCAAAAGGACGATAGGATCATCTGACGCAAGAAAAATTCTGGCCTCTAAGGTCGCTGGAAAACTCATTCACGAAATGAGCGTTACATACCTAGGCAAAGAAGAAGAACCAAACATGGAGCTTTTAAAGGATAAAGATAGAAGGATAAAGCTCTCGCCGTTGATCAATCTCTGAGGGATGTGTCACGCATTCGACTTCATTAAGTATCGTTGGAGGTGACTGAATGCATATTTGGCCTTTACACAGTTTTGCCTCCAACCACTGCGCCACACGCGCCCTTTTTGTATGAACCAGTTAGAGTTTTTCTGTTAGTTCTCTTTGGTCATGGGCAGTTTATTCGAATGAGAATAGATGGCGAATGGGAGTGGTAGGCGTTTCCTGGTAATAGCGGCATAAAGGAGAAACTTTATGCTAGGAGTAACTTGTCTTCTCAAAATCCATGAAATTTCTTTCAACTTTGCACAAACATCGGTCGTCAGCGGTCTGCCTATCTCACTTACAAGACATCATCGTACTACATCTCCTATCGATCATTTTTGGTCGTTTTTTGCTTTTTCCGCGCTGTCTTCTCATATTTTATAGGATATTTAACGACAAAATTTCGTACATCAATACTTATAGTCGGATGTCGGTCGTTTTGTCCTGGGTCGGCGAAGCTGATGATTCGTCTGGCGGCGTAGTACGTCCACCTGTGAGCGAAAAAAATGCTGATTCCTTTTTGTCGAATAATGAGACACAATGGTGATACCATGCCTGGTATTCTGCGGAGATGGGTGATGAATTTTCAAGCAGTGGATCGAAAGAATCGAAAGAATAGGTGAATCAGAGTTGCAGATTTTCATTTCCTTTATGAAACTTTCGAAACAAAAAGATAATTTTCAGCACTCGGTATTAAGTTTTTTAGAAATTTCGAAACTTACTTGACTCTCTTGGAAGACTGGATCGTAGCGTCTCCACTACGAACAAAGATCCTTTTTGTCGTGGTTTTTTAAAGCCTTTCACTCATGTATTATATCAGGCCTGTTTCAACGCCTTCAGTTATCAGGCCAAATTTATTTCATCGCTCTACTATTTTACTCGTTCTCATCAGCAGAAGACATTTTGTACCTTAATTAATGTTCTGTTTCCATTAATGGAAAACAATAGAGTGAAAACTGGAAAAACCTATAAGGCAGTGCGTAGTTGTGGCGTCGTGGTGTAAAATTCTTTCGGTACCTGCCATTCACGACGAACGTGTTATTTTTGATCGCTTGTCACTTTAGAAATATCGCCATTTCCATCAAATCCCAAACCCAAACCTTTGTTGATTCGCTACCTCTCAAATCATATGGCGACGTTCCACTTCAATTGCATCATCCTAAGACTTGTATCGACATATATGTAAGGACACATTGAACTGTTCTTATTGGTTCCTGGTTCTCTAGACGTGGAAGCGGAACCAGTTTCGATTCTCTCAGATATCGTGGTATGGGACCAAATCATAAAATAAAATTCGGTCATTTAACAGGTAACAATGTAAGTTTTACAACCACAATGATGTTGAGATATTTACAAAACTCAGAACCGCAGGTGTCTGCGGTGGGGAGCGAACGAGCTATTACCTTTTCCAACGGCCAACGCGTTCGCCACCACTCCATGCGGATCCTAATATAAGTATTGTTTATCGAAGCCTAAGAGTAGAGTATTTCGCCTTTTGTTTAAAAACAATATCGACTGTATAGATAAAAAACAAAAGTCGAAAAACCAGAATGTTCCATTCGATTGAAAAAATCTATACTTTTTGCCGTAAAAGAATTCTCCATAATTCCATAAAAAAGAGCTGTGGGAGCGATGAGAGTCAATGAGAAACACGCAAAGCTTGATAGAGAGCAGCGGTTTCAATGCGGACCAGCAAAAGTGGCTGAACTGAAATGTGTTGATGAAAGACTCTCTACCTTAAGGGCATTCACGACGTCCACTTCGCCGTCTATTTGTTAGAGGAAGTCCATTAAACCGTATTCCTGATCTCATTACAGAATAGCCATTTGAGAGCGAGGCGGAACTGCCACGATGTGAACGGAATCGTTAAAACGAACTAATGACGTACAGCTCATGCATAGCGACATTGCTATTCAGTCATTTGTCGAGCATTCTTGCATTCTTAATGATCGACACAAAGCGAATTCAAATAATGCCGAACCAATAAAGCCGTCAATGTCGTCCACAGAACCGTGTTCCACCTTCGAATCGACTCGGTGGAACCCAAAATGCACACGGACTTTAGAAAACCTCAAATTGAGAACATGAATTTTGTGATTCAAAGTTCTTTTCTGAAAGAAGTAGTACACTTCTACTAATTTTTTTATTATTGTGACCTATAGTTTTAGCCTTTTATTTACTGCCTACTCTTTTTCACAGAGTATGTTTCGAAATATAACTTCAATAATGCCAAAATATTTGCAAAACTCTGAACTGCAGGTGTCTGCGGTGGGGAACGAGCAGTCTATTACCCTTTCCGGGGCTAACTCGTTCACCACCGCACGGTGCGGGTCCTTCGTTCCGCCGGTCTCCGTATATTTCGCATTGATTTGGGTAACTTAACAATCAATTGAAGACTTGTCATCAAATATTTATCCCAAAACTATACAGAGACCATGATCCCGTGAGATTAACAACGGAAGACTATGCATGATGTTGATCAGCAACAAAAATGTCTAAACGCGCCAAGAAATTTTGTTCTTAGTTCGAATGTGAAGCGTTGTTACACACTCTAAGACCTGTCTGACGATGATTTACTATCGACATATTCAAATATTCATTGAATACTGAAAGACCTTCAGAGGTATCATATGAATACAATATAATCCTTCTTTTTTAACGTTTTCTTAGTGCTCACTGACAATGCCGTGACTTTCGTCAATAACAATCGGGTGTCATAGTGTGAAGCACTGTAATAGTAGTACAGACCCAGATGACATGTTCTGGCTGCACCAGTTATAGTCATTAGATCGGTCTGATCAGTTTATCTATTCCTGATGCCTCGACGACCGGATCCACTACTCCTTCTGCTTTAGCTTCAAAGTATCTCCTCGTAGTGTGGAAAACCTTGAATGGCACATCTCAACACTGTCTATTACATTACATATGTGCTGTAAAGTTCTCTCTATATGTACGTCATTCATTGCGCAAAAAAAAAACACTTAAAAGAAAAAGTGAAAAATGGAACTTGCATTGGATTAAGTTGTTAACTGTTAGCAGAACTATCACCATTCGCATATGACTAATATTAATTGAAAATTGGAGGCAGAACTTCATAGAAGGAAGCCAAATTCCTCGAAAGAGGGGTGGTGGAAAATGTTCGAAAAATTTTTTCATATACTCCCATTATTGTTATTTATTTAAGTAATACTATTGGTAGCTCACTAATTTTATTGTTAACTTTATTCAGTAGACGTACGCTCTTCCCAGTGGTTCACCGCCTCATCGTGACTAAGAGTTTCTGGGTGTCCGACTGCGATGTACAGCGGCGTGATTCATCCCCTGGACAGGGTTTCCCAAGCTGAAAAGAAGTCCGGCGTTTGCAACAGGAGGCCTACTTAAGACTATACCAGTACCATATCCACCATCGTTCTGGTATGAAACTAGAGTCGCATGGTGGCAAATCTCCCTCTGATCCACAATGGCGGTGACTGCCTGTGGTGGTGACGACCTGGGGCAGACTTTGGCCAGACTGACCTCGAAACTCTAGGGAACCACAATGGCTAGACCATCAAAACTTAAAAAAAAAACGGAAATTATGCTGGGGCCCTCACAACCTGTGAAGACGGGCCGTCCAAGTATCCAAGTAAGTAAGTAAGCGTGCGACGTTTCATGTCAAAAACTAAAACAATGAAAATCTTCGAACCAAGAAAGAACTTTCTGCTAATAATTTATAAAGCAATAAATGGATCTCATCTCGACAATTTGTACTAAAAAGCTTCAACAAAGTTTTGTTGACATACCGCTAGCCTCCAGAATAAAACGACTCCAATCAGCAAAACGATCGTCTTTACAATTGCTATGATAATAGCTCGTGTAAGGAAATCCTCATGGTGACCTAGAAATAGACGAGTAGATCAGCTAAAAGAAAACCGAAAAATATTGAAAACAAGAGAACTGAAATCGTTCTGAATTACGCAGATTTTATATACATACACAAGAGGGCATTGGCTCGACACCGCGCCGTGGAATAACCCATCTAAAACGGAAGTCTAAATTGCATATAAGAAAATGATCTTACTCAATCATATATCGCGTGTGCGCTTAAATGGCTTGTGTTCATAAAACGTATGGAGTCTAAGTTCTATTCAATCGTTTCCTCACCTTACAACGGTGGTTCGTAACTGACCCATGCCTACGAATCGATTTTTATTTTTTTTACTCCTTATAATAAGGTTCGTTCGTTGGTTTCTATAGAATTTCAGCGTGTGCCTACTCTGAAATCCGAAGGCATTTTCGACGTAGGAACTGACTAACATGGTCAGAGAGTGGTTTTCTGCCTTGCGATCAGGGTCCTATGAGACATCTGGTAGTTGCTATTCCTACGATTAGTTGATATCCGATAGAGAATAACGTAACAGGTCGAGTCAGACAAAAGATACAGATAAAGTTAAAAATACAGCGATTTACTTTACAGGAAACGAGTAACGTAGTGAATCCAGGTTGTTCTGCCAAGCACATAGTTGTTGCTTCGGCTCGCCAGCCCACCAAACGTCAGCGCCAAAAGGTAAATTATAATTCACGTGCATTAAGAATGGGTAAGCCGAAATCTTCCTAACCACACGTATGCATGTGTGTACGCCTTGTATGTATGTGTGGTGGACACCCGTGTATGGATGCGTATGTATCTGTATGTGTGTGTCTGTACGCTTCGTCCATGTTGGTGTATGATTGTGGAATTAAAATGAACAATAATTTTCAACCAAATATGGCCCACCTTGACCATAAAACTCCAAATATGCATCTGTGTTAAATATAGAAATAATCAGTTTTATTACTGTCACAATGGCCCACAAACCAAATTGAAATGCCTGAAAAAAAAGATTAAAGTCGTTGTTGTCATGTGAACGAGAGCTTTTGGAGAATCACTCAAATTTTCATAAACCTAAGCGGTAGAAATATCTTGGGATCAGTTTTTTCAATTTACAAAGAAATTTCGAGCCCACAGTGTTTTTAAGAGTTCTACTGGGGGAAAGAGGATCAGAAGCATAATTTGAGCGTACTAGATTAAAATTAGTCACAATATCCCTAGTTGTTTTTCCAAGCACTAGGAGTTTTCAATAGAATTAGAGCGACGTAACTGAGAAAATGAACAGAATGATGTTAAGAATAGAAAGAGGCATCCGGCAGAAGGAATTATGAAGCAAAAGCATGTCTAAACGTTAGAGAATAAAAAAAAAGAAAAAGAAAACAGATATTCGTGATAGCTTTCCAACAAGGCAAAGTTTGATCTTTTTTCAAATTTCAAAAGTTAGAAATTTTGTAAAATCTGAGGTCTTTCCTAAGATACGTGCAATTTGCCTACCGCATAGAGGTTCATTGGCCACATCCATCTGTGCTTCTCCTTCTTCAAAGCATAAAGTGTAAAGATTATAATGATTAAATGCGGTCCTGAAAAAGTATGAAGAGGTTTTCCGGAATAAAGAAGAAAAAAACGAAAATCGTAAAACATCGTGCTTAGACAACTCAGAAAATTTTTTACTGCTTTGAGCAATTTTTGGTTTGGCTTCTCAGAAACAGTCATTTACCGCTACAACTAGCAATTTCACTAAAATTTAATTATTCGACAATGAAGGTTCGTGGACTCGTCCGAATATTTAATATTCTCTATTATGTGTGATGCAACCACAATGATGATGAGATATTTGCAGAACACCGGACCGCATGTGTCTGCGGTGGGTAACGAACGCGTTATTGTCATTTCCGGAGAGTAACGTGCTCACCACCAGTTAACTGGGGTTCAATGCCGATATGTGCTCCACAGATCAGTCCCGTTGACGGGTGATTACTGGTGACAGAGATCAATAGAACTAGCTGAGAGGAAGGCGAAACGAAGGATCCGCATGGTGTGATGGTAAACGCGTCAACTTCCGGAAAGGGTAACAGCGCGTCCGTTCCCCACCGCAGACACCTGTAGTCCCGTGTTTTGCAAATACTTCAGCATCGTTGTGGTTGTTTCACACATAATACCCAACCGTGGGAAATTGTAACGGATACTAAATGGAAAGTTAACACTTTCGATTATGAATGTGTCGTTTTCTTGTTCAGCAATCGCGAGGTTTTTAAACAGCATACATTTACTATTCCAATGCCGAGGTAAATAGAATGTCGATCCTGGAAACTTTCGATTATGTTTGCAAGAAGGGAAAATTGCAAAGTAATCAATTTTTGGACGTACCAATCCAGAAAATCCACCATGGAAAGAGGAAAAGCATGTAGAGTGGTATCGCAATGATGTCAAGCCATAACAGAAATTTAGCAGCATTCTGTAAATGGTAACAACCGTGTTCAAGGATTAAGAAATATATGCTGCTTAAGAGTTTCACTTCTATCGGAATAAACTGACACGTGATATCCCTTCTGTCTTCGAATTCTCTGGATCTAAAAAGCATGACGACGCTAAAACTGCGAATAAAATGTCAACTAAACAAAATTTTCACCCGTTGTCGTACTGGGTTCCGATGAAGATTTCGTATTTACCTAAAACTGAAGTCCAACTACAATAAGAATAAAATTAGGTGCCCTGATGAGGAGAGATGTTAGATTGTGCTTATGGAAGGTATACAGTATTCTAAGGGTGAATGTATAAAAGGGATAATGATCATATCTACTGTTCGAATATTCAGCTTGAAATTAGTGTGGTTTGACCTGGAAAGTTGGTCATTATTGGTCATTATTATTTCTATAAAATACTAGCATAGTCTCAGGATTATTTACGAATTCTGGAGAGCGATTTTCATTACTTTGCCGTTATGACAACAGGCTGCTTAGACATTTTTCCAATCTTATAGTATAAGGGTGTGTGTGACGCAGTGGTCGGAGGCACCTTGCAACACACACATGGAATCGATCCTTGTGCCCATGGTACACCAAGCCTTCCATCCGTCCGGGGTCGGCAAATTGGTACCAGACTTGTCTGGGATGATGGTAGCAGTGGCTCGATACATCAGTAGGCCACCGCGAGTCATTGTAAAGGCTAGATATGCATTCAGTCACCTACAGACGATGCTTAATGAAGTCGAATGCATGGCGCATCCCTCAGGGATTGATCAACGCCTAGAGTTTTGTCCTTTATCCTCTTGTAGTACAAGAAATAAAAAGTATTCAAGTTTTAAAAGAATAATTGCTTTCTGGTTTCAAGTAAATGGTAGTTAATTAATAGAAAATTCAACACCATTATTTCTTCAAAGAAATAAAAATTCAGCTTTGCTTGCTACCATCCATTTTAACAGTTCCAATTAAAATTAAGGTTTTCTAGAATATCCTGAATTTTGTTTTTCCTACAAATCACCACTTACCACTACGTGTACGGCGCCACGCAAGCAGCGATAATCGGGGTGCTGTTCCTCCCATTCAATTTCCCTCTGCCAAAGGTTGCTGACATACTGTGGTAGCGGCACCTTGTCGAACAGGATCATCTCTGAGGAAGTGAGTAGTTTGAAAACAACAAATCCTCGTGATCATCGATTTAATGAAGTTCATTAACTAGGCAAACGATTCTATGGATGTGCGTTCAAGAGTCTAACGTCTTTATAAATGAACGATCAGGAGTCACTAATGAACATCGTCTCATTAAGGATTTTATGTCAGAACAAAAAAAAAAGAAGAGATAAAATAGGATCCGAAAGTCTGAATTTCAACAGGAAAGAAGTGAAAGGAACTGTTGTAATGATTCAACTAGTATGTATACCCGGCTGTGAATGCATTTGGTGAACTTTCCAAGGAAAATGGGAAAATTCACGTTCACCATTTCCACTGTGCTAGTTTTGCAATAGAAATGAGATCATACGAATGTTAACGCTAAATGACGAGTACGAAATAAGGTTGGCATTGTGAAATCGATGTTGATAGTGGTGAATTCGTCCCCACAGTCTTTGTTAGCATCGAGAACCGGTTCATCAGGAACAAGAGTATGAAGGACATCGTGGAAATTCTTCACAAAATGAAATGCCAGCTGATTTAATTGCGTCCCTTACCTACTTCTACTAAACGATGTCTTCGATGAAGTCAAGTAGAAATGTCTATAAATGTTTTTAATCGTTTAATAGCGGACGACCAAATGATCAGCCGTCTCGGTAAGAATGGATGCGCTTCAGATTCACAATCTCTCCAATAGGACAAGAATGCATGTTCTAAAAAAGGCAACGTGAAATGGAAGTTTCTAAGCCATGCAAAGCTAAATGATGTAGAACGTACGTGTTCAATGTAGAATGACTCAGTGTCGTGTTTTCAACGTCGTAGGCTGGTCAAAGGCCTTCATAATGGATTGCCGTGGAGCAGTTGTTGCGAACACGACCGCCCACGACGTTAGTTCGGTGTTCATGTCGATCATATATCAAAATAATCACTTTATAGATGAAGAATCTACGAAACTCTCCATCTGTAAAACTCCTTTGTCTCCGTCGCCACAGAAATAAATAATGAGAGAAGGAAATTTGTAGTAGGAGAGGCGATGCTTCGTGAGGCTCTCGAAGCTGGCCATAAACAATTTTGGCAAGATAGGACCACCAAGTCGAATATTTTAAATTCTTCTTCTATGTTTGGTGACGATGAAGGTAAGCCAACGTTGGCTCTATTGGATGCACAGAGTGAGCTTAGCTAACAGTTGCTATAAGTTTCTGGATGTTCTCATTGCTACAAGAATCGACAAATACAAAAAAAAACAGCTAGGACGATGATTGATGCAAGATGATAACAGTGGCAAAGGCCAACACTGAATGACTAACGCAATGCATAGAATGCCAATATCGAATGAACTACAAATGGTTTGATAACACCGAAATGATTCCGAAGAGAAGACATATCGAATCACTGTCATCGCTTTTGCTATGTGACAGTTTGCTAGTCGGAGAACCATCCTATTGGAAAAAAAGACATAGTTGAAGGATGTGGTGTCAACAGATTTCGTTGGAACGTGTTGTATTATTGATGTAAGATTTCTGAGGTTGCTGAAAGAGTACGTTTTGATGTAGCCAGCAAAACTACTATTTTTGAAGCAGCCGGGCACGGCTAATCTTAGTTATTTCTATTTATTTATGCGATCCGTACCTTCACATTATAAGGATATTAGCGCCTCTCGAATTTGATTCATCTCACCGCACCCATCATCCACAAAGTTTCTCGAACTGACATGTGGTTTGACCCGACAGTTCAGAATCTTTCTTCTCGTCGAATGTTGACATGTATTCGTAGGATTTATCCCTTCTGGAATCCCTGGAATGCTCTACTAGGTCTACTTTTAGTGAACTCTATGCACATCACCGTTCTTCATCCTGTCTAACTGCAAAAGAAAAATTGAAGTGCAGTGGACAAGTTGAAAGGCTGAGGTTGGAAAAACTATGGCCAAAGTTGGAAATCTGTCAAGCCTTTTCCTCTTGCATTTTTAGATTTCACACACTTATTATTTCAGTCATATACATGACATTACCGTAAATTTCGCCTCCATCCTACCACCTCTATTCCACTTTTTGTCTCTCATCTATCATTCACGAGAGTTCGGATATTCGTGTGGTTTTGGCTTTTGCTTAAAGACCACCCGTTCTCATTATTATCATTGAGTGCTGGTCGACTTTTGGAACACTGACGTTATTTTGCCAAATCATCTCTACTTCCTCACAACAGAAAGTTTTCTGTGTAGATCGAACAGCTTGTCTTAATTAGGCTGGAAGTTTAATGTTTAGTTTACTTTGCTGAGTTTGTGAAGGCACTTGGCTGTGTATATCCATTATCAATTTTACCATTCAGACAATGAAAAGGCGAAAACGCAAAAGCGTCAGCTAGTGTTGAATAAAGATTTTTCTAGCACAGAAGCTTTTACTAAGGACCTCGTGTCTCGTAACAATAAAACATTAGTTTGTCGTTCTCGAATCTTTCCTATTATCCTAGATAATAACAGTTATTCGCCGTCTTGAGCTTTCTTGTTGTTATTATTATCGTCACTAACGCCTTTATTATTATTTACAGTTCCCTACTGTTACAATTCAATTACTAAACAGTAGTTTATTGTCTAAGAACAATTACTGTTAGGAACTATTGCAGGCTGAAATATGGTAGCACTCGCTGTTATTACTTAGCATATTGGAGTAAAATAATTCATTTCCAGAGACTGGAAGCTCACCGACTTTTGGATAGGGGTTCTATGAAATGAGCCGGGGTCTCTCCTGATATTTCTATCTTAAAAGTGCCACTTAGAAAAATTTTTTTCAAAAAATTAGTGTCTACTAAGTCTTGTTTGGTGGCCGCCAGTGCCACATCAAACAACTTGCAAACTAGCTTTCTTTCGGTGGTCGGCATACAAATTGTGGAATCGAGTTCTGCGGAAGTACTTGAGCTTACCTCCACTAGTGCCAGGATCGTTAGTTAGGTTGCAAAGATTGTAATCAATGTGGACAGTTACATGCAGCACAGGCTTCTGAATTAGCCAAAAATTACGCCCCTCTCACTGGCTTTAACACTACATCATTATTCTACTTTAGAGTCATATCATTCTCATTGTCGGCTAGCCTTCTTGATCTTTACAGCGCCTTTTGTCCTAATTTCGTTATTGTTGTCTGCATGTGTATTTGCTTCCCTTATTATCTAATTGCTACGTAATTGCGTCTACAATGAAATCACCTACATCGAAATCCAGTTACCCGAGTTTAAGGTCTGAGGTAGGCTTGACATATTCATAGGAGTTCGGAGATACAACGATCTCAGTAATCTCCAAATAAATCTTTATTGACGACCTCTTCTTTGCTTTAACAATCCAGAAAAGAATATCGTACTTCAGACAAGGCATAGAACTCCGAAACATGAAGAATGTGCTGAGGTCCGTACAACTAGTGAGGACGAGTCGTTCAAGTGGCCAAGTAAGTAAGTAAGTAAAATAGTCAATGTTATTATCAACGAAAATGTTAATAACATGTTTTAAAATTTATTTACCACCTATCCCTTTTCATGGCAGAACACAATATTACCATAAAACATATGACAACCATAAGTATACTGAGCACGGTGAAGACAAGTTCGAAAACTACATGGGGTCCCAAGTTTTGTGCGTATATCGGCATTCTCGTGGCTCATGATAGAGTCAGTATTACCTAAGTTTAAGAGCAAGATGTTTTTTTAGCTGTTGGATTGGCATTTGTATAGAAATGAAAGGCGCTGATCGTGCTCTTGGTTTACAGCAAACAATCAGTTAGATGTTGATGTGATTAGCACGCTAGATAGAAGTTTAAAAGGATCAGTGTTAACGAGCGAACAAATTTCTACATACTTTTAACCGTTTCATTTACTGTCCAATCTTTTTCATGGCAGGGTATATTGCGAAATATATCTTCAATAATGCTGAGATATTTGCACAACACCGGACCGCAGGTGCCTACGGTGGGGAACGAAGGGGCTATTGTCTTTTCCGGGGAGTTCTCCTAAAATAAATTTCAAACTGATATCTATGGCCAAATACGTAACTTCTATATCTGTACTCAAGACTTCTATTATAATAATTATCCATTAAAACCAAACGATACCTAAAAAAGACTCCAACAATAAAAGAACAAACATAAACAAAGCAAATACACTCAACAAAGAACCAAAAGAGGAAATTACATTTCAAACCCAATATACATCAGGACAATCCAAATATTGTAGATTATTAGGGTAGTTCTAATATGAAATTGTAAAAGACAGTAAAAAAGTTTTTATATTTTTTTGAAAGGTATTTAGAAATGGTACAAATCATCCATCAGTTGCTTATAGGGGAGTAAGTTGTAGTAAAGTAGATTTAGGGGAACCTGAATCTAATAATTAAACTATTTTAAAGTTCTGTTTTGAAAACGGTTTGGGAAAGATTCTTGTAGTTTTAAGGGTTAGTTTAAGGATAAATAGAATTGTTGATTGTTGATCAAAGGGTTAGCTCTTAATTTAAGGGTTTATTCTAATTGAAAATATTAGATTGGGTAACTCAGCGTTTTCGAACGCGCAGTCGAAAGGACGATGCTAGGAGTATCCCGTTTTCATCACCACACCATGCGGGTCCTTCGTTTCGCCTGTCTCTCAGCTACTTCTATCGATCTCTGCCGTCAGCAGTCAAGTTAAACTACTACATAGTTAGAGACGATAACCGTAAATTAATCTGGTGCCACTCGCTGTCCCATTGCCAACCCTCTTGTTTGGGCGCAGTACTTTCCGAACCATCTGAAGATTGAGCAGCTCAGGCATTTGTTTAATAGTGTCATCAACTGTTCTATCTTGAAGCCATACATGCTTATTTCTCCTTCGTGTTGTGTAAGGAGTTCAATATGGTTTGCATTGCGGAGTCAATCGACACGTTTGTATAAAAAGCGGTAACGTCGATGGACTCCATCACATACGCGTCGCTGGGCTGCGCAGTACGAAAGGCCAAATCCACCGAAACGTCAACTTGTACGTAAATAAA